GAGCCTGCCCAAGGCCGTCCTGGCGCCTTCTTGAAGCCTTCTGGGGACGGACCTCGTGGAGCGAAAAACTCGAATGTTCGGTTCATATTCCCCCTCCTGAGCCCTTCTTGGGGTCGTCTTTGGGCCCTCTTGTGCCGTCTTGGGCGCCCCAAGGGACGTCTTGGAGCCCTGTTGGGCCGTCCCGGGACTCTCCTGGGGGCCTCTTGGCCCGTCTTGGGGCGGTCTTGTGGGCTCCTTGGGCCGTCCGCGAGTGTGTGAAACTCGAGATTGGAGGACCCCCAAAAACAATGAAAAAACGCGAATGAAATCAACGATGTTTGCCTCCCTCCCAGGGCACTCGTCTGGAGCCTCAGGCGCCCACCAACGCCTGCCCGAGGCCGTCCTGGCGCAGCCTGGGACCTTCGGAGGCCGTGTACAAAGCATCTTCGGCGCTCTTGGGATGTCATGGGCCAGCCCGGCAGACAAACTATCGTGACCGTTTTGTGTGCTTTCTGTGCGCCCACGGGGTCACTGTGGAGGGCACGAGAAGCTACTGGGGCGCCCGGCGGCCCCGTGCACCCCCGCGGCCGCGGTCCCGGGGCGCGCCCCCGGGATACTCCGATGTGTATATATATACATATATATACACACAAACACATACACATACACATACACATACCTATACAGTTATATCTACATATACATTTACACATACACATACACATACACATACACATACACATACACATACACGTACGCATACACATGCATATATGCATAAATACATACATCTACATATACATACACCTACACATACACATACACATACAAATACACATACACATACACATGCACATGCACATACACATACACATATACATACACATACACATGCACATACACATACACATACACATATACATACACCTATACATATACATATACACAGACATAGACACGTACATGTACATATACATATGCATATGCATATGCATATGCATATGCATATGCATATGCATATGCACATGCATGTATATGTGCATAGGCATCTACACATACATATACCTACTCATATGAATATACCTATACATATACATCCACCTACACATACATACACACATACATGCATACATACACACATACCTAAATAGAGAGATATGGACACAGCTACAACTATACATTTACGTATATGTATATATACATATGTGTACACGCACGTGAAAGAGTACATACGTATCCATATATATAGCGATGCGTGAAGGTACATACACAGATCTACACGTACGCATACACATAGCAATCTACGTATGCATGCACACGTGCTTACATGCAATCGACATAGACATATACTAAGCATGTACATACACACGTATATATACATATACCTAGACAAATATATATATATATACAAATATAAGTACGTGTACACATGCAAATTCGCATACGCATACACGTACATGCACATGCACATGCACATGCACATGCACATCCACAACCATCTACACGCACGCATACACAATCACATGCACATACACATATACACATATACATATACATGTGCATGTACGTGTATAGAAACATAAGCATATACCTCTATATGTGCACCGATGTGTGTAACTTTGGCTTATATGCAGCACTCTCTATACACCTTTATATATATATATATATAAAAATACTAAAACCGTCACGCGCTTCGCGCGCGCTCAAGTACTAGCTCGGATTGATAAGCTAACTCAGTCCATAGCATGCTGGTCGCTTCTTGCGTCCGAGGACTCCCTTGGAGGCCCTGCGCAAGCCTCGGAATCGTATAAAGGGGAAGTGCGGAAACGCAGAAATCATGAATTGCCTTTTTAGGTAAGTGTGAATACCTTCTTCGGTGGCGCTCCCTATGGGGCCACGAAACGCTGTGCTGGGTGGGCGAAACGCTGGGAGCAGGGTGGTGGCGGACGCATGCGGGCGGTACCACTGGGACCTTCGGTGGCGCTCCCTATGGGGCCACGAAACGCTGTTCTGGGTGAGTGAAACGCTGGGAGCAAAGGCAGCGTTGGATGGTGGCGGACGCATGCGGGCGGTGCCACTGGGACCTTCGGTGGAGCCCCCTAAAGGGCCACGAAACGCTGTACTGGGTGGGTGAAACGCTGGGAGCAAGGGCTGTGCTGGGTGGTGGCGGACGCATGCGGGCGGTGCCACTGGGACCTTCGGTGGAGCTCCCTTCTGGGGCCACGAAATGCTGTTCTGGGTGAGTGAAACGCTGGGAGCAAGGGCTGTGCTGGGTGGTGGCGGACGCATGCGGGCGGTGCCACTGGGACCTTCGGTGGAGCCCCCTATTCGGCCACGAAACGCTGTACTGTGGGCGAAACACAGGGAGCAAAGGCTGTGCTGGGTGGTAGCGGACGCATTCGGGCGGTGCCACTGGGACCTTCGGTGGAGCCCCCTATGGGGCCACGAAACGCTGTACTGTGTGGGTGAAACGCAGGGGGCAAGGGCTGTGCTGGGTGGTGGCGGATGCATGCGGGCGGTGCCACTGGGACCTTCGGTGGAGCCCCCTATGGGGCAACGCAACGCTGTTCTGGGTGGACGAAACGCAGGGAGCAAGGGCTGTGCTGGGTGGTGGCGGACGCATGCGGGCGGTGCCTCTGTGACCTTCGGTGGAGCCCCCTTATGGGGCGAAAGCGGACGAAACCCTTTCGATCAGAGTGAGGGGGGCCGAACGGTCATTCATTGTCCCTGGGTGCGTGGCTGAAGTGGGGATCCGTGGTGAAGATGCTGCTGGTTGCGTTGTTGTTTGCTTGTGTGTTTGTTTGTTTGGTTGTGTGCTTATTTGTTTGTTTGTTTGTTTGTTTGTTTGTGTGTTGCCATCGTTCCACCCGCGACTCACCCGCAACCCACCCCGCGCAACCCCGCGACCCACCCCCGCGATCCACCCCGCGACCCACCCCGCGACCCACCCCGCGACCCACGCGACCCACCCCGCGACGCACCCCGCGACGTCCCCGCGACCCAACCCGCGACCCGCACGCGACCCACCCCGCGACCCACCCCGCGACCCACTCAGTCAGAGTGAGGGGGCCGAACGGTCATTCACTCTCCCTGGGTGCATGGCTGAAGTAGGGATCCACAGCGAAGATTCTGCTTGTTTTATTGCGTCGTTCCCTCCGCGACCCACCCCGCGACCCACCCGCGACCCACCCCGCGACCCACCCGCGACCCACCCCGCGACCTACCCACGACCCACCCGCGACCCACACTGCGACCCGCTCGCGACCTACCCGCGACCCACCCGTGACCCACCCGCGACCTGGCCCGCGACCTGGCCCGCGACCTACCCGCGACCCGCCCACACTGTTTAAAGAAAAAATCGGCGCCTGCGGCGGGCTCGCTGTATAGCTTGAAGATTATGCGCCTGCGGCGGGCTTCTTCAGAGCCTCGCAGGCTGCCGACATCCCCGCCCCCCTCACCCTTATCCGCAACTGCGGGGTGCCACGTATAAACAGCACGCGCTCCTGGGTTACAAACTGCGGTACACAGGGTGGCTGTGAAGCTCACATACCAGGGACACCAGAAATTCTGACACTCATTCAAACATGGCTGTGAGGTTCACACTCAGACACCAGGTGGGCCATGGCTAACCGCACGAGGTGTTAATACCCCCCCAATACTGGGCAAATCCCGCCAGCCCTCTAGAGTGCCAGTGGTTTAGAGACGTTCATCTTCCAACCCACCTTCTTCCCCTTCGGGGAGGGGTTTACCCCTCCCCCAACCCGCTAACTTGGCCTGGACGGGCCAGGCCGTAGATCGTCAGAGGGTCCAAGATGGTTCCGACGAGAAGGCCAAACTCAGAGTTCATTAGGGTTTTGCAACTGTTCGGCCTCATGGGGGTACCCTGATTACGGAGACTTCTCCTCTGATCGATCTCCTCCAAAGATGACCTCAAGATGGTCCCCGAAGCTCCCGAGGATGCCCCAAGATGGCCCCAAGCGGTGTCCAGAAGGCTCCAAGAGGCCCCCAAGATGGCCCCAAGATGCTCCCGAGAGGCTCCCAAGCGACCCCCAAGACGCGCCAAGGGAAGCCCCCAGAGGCATCCACGACGCCCTAAAGAGGCCTCGGCGACAAAGCCGAAATATTTGCTTTTATAAGGAGGAGGAGGAAGAAGAGGAGCAGGAGGAGGAGGCGAGGAGGATGAGGGGAAGGAGGAGGAGGGGAAGACGGGCCAGCAGAAAAGATTCTGGCCTTTCAATTCGCCCTCCTTCTCTCTCCTCCTCCTCCTCCTCCTCCTCCTCCTCCTTCCTCCTCCTCCTCCTCCTCCTCCTCCTCCTCCTCCTCCTCCTCCTCCTCCTCCTCCTCCTCCTCCTCCTCCTCCTCCTCCTCCTCCTCCTCCTCCTCCTCCCCCCCCTCCTCCTCCTCCTCCTCCTCCTCCTCCTCCTCCTCCTCCTCCTCCTCCTCCTCCTCCTCCTCCTCCTCCTCCTCCTCCTCCTCCTCCTCCTCCTCCTCCTCCTCCTCCTCTCCTCCTCCTCCTCCTCCTCCTCCTCCCCTCATCCCCCTCATCCTCCCCATCCATCTCCTCCTCCTGCTCATCATCACACCACCACCACCACCACCACCACCACACCACCACCACTACCACCACCACACCACCACCACCACCACCCACCACCACCACCATCATCATCATCATCATCATCATCATCATCATCAGCAGCAGCAGCAGCAGCATCATCATCATCATCATCAGCATCATCATCATCATCATCATCAGCAGCAGCAGCATCATCGTCATCATCATCAGCATCAGCATCAGCATCATGATCATGATCATCATCATCAGCATCAGCATCATCAGCATCAGCATCAGCATCAGCATCAGCATCAGCATCATCATCATCAGCATCAGCATCAGCATCAGCATCAGCATCAGCATCATCATCATCATCATCATCATCATCATAATCATCATCAGCAGCATCAGCATCATCATCAGCAGCATCATCATCATCAACATCATCATCCTTATCCGCTTATTCCTCCGCAGTCCTTCTCCCTCGTCCCGGAGGCGAACCATGGGACGCGCGAAGCCTATTGCCAGCCAAGAGCTTTGGGGGCGGTGCAGGATCGAACACCTCCTGCGGTGAGCTCCACGATATGAGAAGTCTGGAACCGCCGCCGCCACAACTCGGGCGCGCCGCGGCGCCGGAGACCCCGTTGGTCGCAGAGCCTCCCCTTTGCCCTCCGCACCGCCCGTGTCCTCAGCTCGTCGCAAAGCGCGGGCGCCTGCTGCCCCTCGCCGACAGCGATCTCCCGGAGTGGCTGGGGCGGGCCTGGTCAGGCGCCTCCCCTCGCGGGCGCGCGGGCCCAGCCGGCGCGCTGCCGCACTGGCCCGGGCCCGTGCGCCACGCGGCCCTCCTGCGGCCATCGACGTCAAGCGGCCCGCGGAGCGCGAGCCCCAGCAGGGCGGGGGGCCGCTCGTCCTCCCCCGCGGCCGCGCGGGCTCGATGGAGTCCCGTGCCGGCTCTGGCAGGCGGCGGGGACACATCGAAGATTGGCGGCGAGCAGAAGGGGGTAGGGGGAGGGGGGAAGGCTTCTTAGAAGGAGGCTGCTTCTTGGAAAGGCGCCGGCCCGCCCCGTCTAAGAAGCAGGGGTGCTTTTGAGAAGCCTTCCCCCCTCCCCCATACCCCCTGCGAAATGCTTTAGAAATCATGGGTTAAGAAATTCATAGTCTCAGAATTTGAAATCAAACCCAGAATGTCTATTCAAATGTTAGGATTCACATTGAAACGTTAAGAATCATCGAGACTCTGGCCGAAAACTCAGGTTTTCGTAAGCATCGCCTGGAGTGTACCCCCCTCTGCGCGCCGCCAAGAAGAGGTCGGAGGTCGACTCGGCGTCGCTCAGCTGGCCGCTCGGCGGGTCGCCCATCGCCTCCCTGCGGGCCGGCTCCGCGCTGGGCACCACGGGCAGCGCGAGCGCCTCGACCACGCGCCGCCCCGGCGCTCCGCTGCCCGCGCGAGGCTGGAAGCTCCCCCCGACGAGCTGCTCCCCCTCGGGATGGCCGTTGGGAGTCGAAGCAGCGGGCGGCCCGGAGGGACGCAGCCAAACAGGCCTGCGGATCCTGCCGGGGCCGAAGGCGCCAGGGCCGGGCAGGGCCTCCCCGTGGCCGCCGGGCGGCCGGCGCGGGGCCGAGTGGCGGCGCCACCTGCCCGCGCCGGGGAGCCTGTGGGCGCCCCTGGGAGTCGACGGTGGTCTCGGTGCGGGCGCCGCGCCGGATGCCTCCGCCCACGCCAGCGCCGGCCGCGGTCGCCGGGACTGCTCGCCGGCGGCCGGGCGCCGGGCGCCCGAGAGGCTCATCCTCCCTCTCGAGGCCTCGAGGATCGGGTCGGGCGAAAGGGGGGGGTAGCAAAGGGGGGGTTTGAGAATCAGCTCACGTAGCTGATTTTCCCGGCGCCCCCTGGCGCCGGAGGCGGCCATGTATCGAGGAATGGGCCCCTCGGTGAGGCCGAAACCAGCTGCATGCAGCAAATTTCGTAACCCCCCCTTTCCCAATCCCTCCCTTTCGCCCGGCCCGAGAGGAGCGGAAGTGAAGATGTGTAGCGCAGGGTGCTTACTCACCCCCCCGCTTGAGCCAGAACTGCCACGGAGGTGAGCATGCGCTGGCATGGTACGAGCTGGGTTGCGGTGGGTGGGCGCGAGCCGAGCTGAGCGAAGCTGAGCAGAACCTCGCAGGAGCGGCGCACGCCGAGCACATCTCCTGCATGGAAGCACCTGGGAGTTCCCAGGGGGCCCTGGCAGCCACCTACTTCTGTCGAGAAGCTGGAGATCCCAGAATCCCATCAGCCCTCTGGGCGTAGGTGGTCTAGGGAGGCTCCTCTTCCAGCCCCCTTCTTCCCCTTCGGGGAGGGGTTTATCACTGTTCCCTATGAATATGAACCCCCTTCCCCACCTGTCCGGCGGCCATCCCGGAACCATGCCAACCCATGCGGGCCACCACCCCCTACCACCCCTATCAAAAAAAGGCACTCTGCCTCCACATTTGGAGCATACGCGGGCAGCCCGATGCGCCCCCCCCAATCATCCCTGTCAAAAAAGCAATACAAAAGACACTTTGGGGGAAAGTCTTGAGTCACATCCGTGAGGCCCACGAGCACTTTGTATTGTTTTTGTCAGGGACGGCGGGGGTGTCAGCATATTCCCTGCTGTGCGCAAGGCTACCATCCCTGACCAACAAAAATTCAACATGCACCTCGCGGCTGAATCTGAATCATGCGCGGCCGCCCCGCGATCACTGTCAAGTGATTTTTGACAGGGACGGCGGGAGTGGTGGCGCGTGGCCTGCTGTGCGCAGGTCCAGTATGATGGGCATTGGCTTTCGACAAGGATGGTGGGGGCCGACACGTTTCCCGATGTGTGCTGTCACGTGCGCAGGCGCACCCGACGCACTCTGCACGTGCGCCGAACGTGGCGCACCTGGCGCGGCTGAAGTGTGCGGCACACACCTGGCGTACTCTGAGCACGTGGCGCATCTGGCGCACCAGGCGTGCCTGGCACGCTCGGGCCCCTGGGGAGCCTGGCGCGCGTGGCGCCCCTGGCACGCGTGGCGCACCTCGCTCAAGCGTCGCGCACCTGGGGTCGGCTTTGGATCCTAGTAGCTGCCCATCCAACGACGACCGCTGAACATGCTCAGGCTCGGGTGTTATGTATGTGTTGGGAGGGCGGGTGGGAGAGCTACACGTCTTGCGGGCGGGTGGGTAGCTTGACCCCTCCCCCTAATTACCCCCTCCCCTTTGGGGGGGCGCGAGGCGCGGGAGCGTCTAAGATGGCCCAAGACGGCTCCAAGAGGGCCCCTGAGAGTCCAAGATGAGCTCCAAGGAAAACCCACCAGCCCTCTGGGCTTGAGTGGTTTAGAGCATGTCCTCTTCACATCACCCTTCGTCCCCTTCGGGGAGGGGCTAACCCCTCCCCCATACCCCCTCCCCCTGGGTCTGGAGGGAGGGGCGCGAGGGGATAGAGCGTCCAAGAGAGCGCGGGGGGTTAGAGCGTCCAAAACGGCCTTGGCGAGAAGGCACAAATCAGTGATGTGTCTGATGTTGCAAAGTTTTGACCACATGTTGGCCTCCTGAGGGGGGGCCCAATTATGGAGCCCCCCGCTTTTGATCGATCTCCTCCAAGATGGCCCCGAGATGAATCCCGAGGCTCCCAACAATGCCCCAAGAGGGCCCCAAGAAGCGCCCAGGAGGCCCAAAGAGGCCCCCAAGATGCCTCCGAGATGCCTCCAAGAGGCCTCTAAGAGACTCCCAAGAGACCCCACAGAAGCCCGAAGAGGCTCCCCCGAGGCACCCAAGACGGCCCAAGAGACCCCCGGAACTTCCGCGAGGCCCCCAAGAGGCCCTAAGAGGCCTACAAGAAGATCTCAAGAGACATCCGAAGACACTCCGAGAAGCATCCAAGAGGCCGCTGGCAGTCCTGCTCGCCCTCCTCCTCCTCCTCCTCCTCCTCCTAGCCATTTCCAGATCTCAGCGATCAGCGATCTGCGATCTTTTGCACCGCGCACTTGGAAGTGGCGCAGCGGTGCAGAGCCAACCAACTCCTTTCATGTCAACCGGAGGCGGCAATGGTCAAGCGCAGCATGTCAAGGTGTGGACGTGCCGGGACCAGATGCCTGCCCGCTGTTGGCGGCCACACCGGTTTCAGAACTTCGGCTTCCGCTCCGAGTGCAAGCAATGCGGCAACAAGGCGCCGCAGCATGTGCTCAACCAGCAGAAGAAACAGCCCAAGTCGGCGAGCCCCAAGCCGGCCCAGGGCCAATGGTATTGGGGGCCTTCTCATTCCTCACGGGGGGCCTGGTGGTCGGGCAAGCAGTGGTGGAACGAGGACGCCAACGCCAGCACCAGCACCAGCGCCAACACCGAGCCCTCCACCGACCAGCTCCTCGAAATGCTGGTCAAGCGGGGTGGTGGCTTTGATGGCAAAGCTGCAGTCCTGGACGAGGTGCGCGCGACGCTGGCGGCCAACGAGGCAGCCGCTGACGCGCCTGCCGACCTGTCCACCAAAGGCCTCCAGGACCTCCTCCAGCGCCAGTCGCGCAAGAGGAAGCAGCTCGAGGCGGCGCAGGAGAGGGTCAATGCCGCTGCCGAGGTCCTCGAGCAGGCCAAGGCAGCCCACGCGGCGGAGATCGAGATCCTCCAGCGTCACAAAGACTCCCTCGCGGAGCTCGACAAGTACGTCAAGGCCGCGCAGGCCAAGACGGTCATCCCCGACATCGGGATCCAGGCTGACGCCGGGGACCCAGCGTCGGATCTGCAATGGCTCGAAATGTTCAGCCTGTTCTTGGGCAAAGGCGCGGGGCGCTTCGGCTTCGACGTCACTGAGCTCAAGACCCAGGCCGCTGCCAAGGTCACCGAGGTTAAGGCGAAGATCCCAGAACCTCAGGTGCCAGCAGGCGCGCAGGCTGCTGGTGGCGCCATGTCTGGCGCTGCTGGCTCTGGCGGGCCTCCTCCTCCTCAGCCGGGTGCTCCTGCTGATGCCATGGATTGGGACGCTGAGGACCCTGACCTGGTCGAGCACCTCAAGAGCTCCGGCGTGGACACCACCGACCCCGCTCGCGTCAAGCGCTTCATGGAAGGCCTCCAGAAAGTGGCCAAGAAGCAGCGGGTTTGATGTGGACCCGGCATTCGCTCCGGATCGGCGGCTGGACGACCCCGCACGGGGCCTGCACGGGAGTGAGTCCGCAAACGCCCGGTGCGGACACACTCCCGCCCGCGCGGGGGCGGCGGATTCGCTTGGAGGGGAGCTCACGGTGTGGTCTAACAACTCCAACTCCTGGGCATCGGCGCAGATTTTGCTGGAGTGGATTCACAATGACTCACCCAATCGTCCGCCACACGTTCTCTGCCTGCAGGAGCATAGGCTCAAGTCTTGCGACAAGCTTCGAGCGGCTCGCAAGTGGTCTCGGGATCGTGGGTATCATCATCACTTCGTGCCAGCGGCGTCCACTGGAGAGACGGGCAATGAGAGCAGTGGCGGGTGCGCAGTCCTATCGAGGATTACGGCGTCCCCCATTCCATGCTCGATGGATTCGATACCTCCCCATAGACTCTCGTTGATGTGCCTCAACATTGGTTGTGCCCTTCCCCTGTACGTCTGCTCTGTCTACCTCACCACGAGCATCGGCCTCAGTGGCGAGAACCTCGACCACCTCGAGGGCATCATGGCGTTCGTCGGCGGCCTCCAGGGGCCCTGGCTGCTGATAGGGGATTGGAACATGCTGCCGACGGACCTCGAGGCCTGGGCCAAGCATGCCAAGGGCAGATTGCTTTCGGCACAGGTGCCGACCTGTGCTGGCAGGGAGATTGATTCTGGTATCGTGTCGAACGCTCTGGCTCCCTTCGTCTCAAAGGTCGAGGCGGTAATGGGCAGCACCGCCAAGACACACGTGCCGCTGGCCATCACATTCGGGGGGCTTCATCGGGGGGCCACTGTCACGCGCGCGGTCTACCCCAAGAGGTTCCCGATCGAGAAGCCCTTGCCTGTCAGGCCGGCCCCGGTGGAGGCTCATCTAGATGAGTGGACATGGCAGGTTAGCCAGGAGCTCCCTGATAATCTGGGCGAGGCGTGCCAGTGCTGGTTGGACCACGTGGAGACCTACCTGATAGATCTTCACGACATCCAGCCTTGGTGTCAACGCAGTTGGAGTGGTCGCAGTTCCGGCCTTCGTGTTGTCCACGTTCCCTTCCAGACGGCTTGGAAGCAGGACGTCAGGGAAGGCTCGTCGCTAGGGTACAGGCAGTGGTCCTCCTACCTCTCGGCCTTCATGCGCCTGCACGCGATCGGCTTCAGCATGAAGGAGAAGGGCCTCAGTAATTTGGCCGCCTGCAGGCGGCAAGCCCTCACCTGTCAGCGCATTGTTGTTGAATGGCCTGCAGAAGGCCCGCTTCTTGCATGGGCGGGGGCATCCCCCCCTCGCTTATCTCTCTTGTTTTGGGGGGTGGTCGGGAGGCTTTGGCGTTCTTGGAGGGGGTGAGAGATCATGCCAACTTGCTCCAGGCCGGCGATCGCGCTGCCAGGAGCGCGAAGTGGAAAGCCTGGGCCAAGGCAGCTGCTTCGGAACAGGGGGGCCGCGCGGCGTATCGATATGTCCGAGAGCCAACCCCATGCACCCAAATTCTCACTCCAGGAGACGGAGACGCGCCTCAGATGCCAGCTGTGGGGCAGCAGTCGGTCGATCTGTTGCTTGAGCAGTGGGAGCCGCTGTGGAACAATCCACGGCGCGATGGTGAAGTGCACCCGAGAGATGGGGGCCCCAAGTTGGCCCAGACCGTGTTGGCGGGCCTGGAGCCCGACCGTGGCCTCGAGGGGCCTGGGTTTTCCGGGGAGTTGGACCCCTGGGAGCCGTTGCCTGCCATCACCATTGAGTCCCTCGATAGAGTCCTACAGTCCTACCCGGCTGGTGCTGGACCAGGGTGGACCGCCTCCATCCGAGGCAGCTCCTCTGGCTGCCGCTCTTATAGAAGGTAGCGTTCGTAGACATCCTTTTGAAATGGGAGTCCGATCCTGAGGCCCTGGACCTCTGGATGCTTTTGATTTCCTTCCTCGGGAAACCTGCTCCCGCGGGAGGTGTTAGGCCCATCGTGCTG